GGAAGGGTGAGAGGAGAGGGAAAGCAAAGAAGGTAAAAATAAGGGAAAAACAAGTAAAAAAAAAAAACAAACAAACAAAAGTTTCAAAGATATAAACAGGGAAAGATAGTGTACTAATCAGCAGTAAGGTAAACAGGCATTAGAGAGACAGAGAGAGGATTGAAAACAAACAAACAAAAAAGAATCTCCAAATTCAAATGCAATAAAGTTGCAGTCTTAATAATTTTGTTGTTAGTCCCTCAGTCTCCAATCCTGGAGATGGTGTCTCAGAAGTAGTTCTGTCATTGTCTCATCAAAGGGGAAAAAAAAAAAAAACCACCACAAAGTGTCCCAAGTTTAAATGCAGTACAGTTTCAGTAAGTTTTTCAGCATGCAGGTGTAGTTCAGTTGTTGTCTCATCAAAGGAAGAGAGAAAAAAAAAAGAGTCTGGAGATAGTTCTGTGAATGGCTATCTGAGGCTGCAGCTCACCTGCCCGCTGCTGTCAGTCTGCTGTTGCTGGAGGCTTTATTTATGCAGATCTCAGGCGTGAGCTTAACACTCACCTGGCCCCTCAGGCTTTGTTTACTTAGAGTTCTCCTGGGAGCCACGCCACTGCTACAAGCTTTCCCTTTCCAAGCACACTGGGGGAGGTGACACTGCACCTGCCTTCTCAGGCTGGCGTGTTTATTTACAGTTCACGTGGGAAGTGGGCCTTCCCCCTCTCCTGTGGAGTTTTCCTCCCACCAACACTGTTACAAGCTTTCCCACTCCTGGTTGCTGGGCAGGTGCTGCCACTCCTGCCTTCTCTGGCTGGCTTATTTATTTACAGTTCCGTGAGGGATTGCCCCTGTCCCCCTTCAGCGCTCAGGGCACCCGCCCTCTTTGCTACATGTCTTTTTTGTTATTGCTTATTATTCAGTTTCTCTTTTTTCCCTGGGTGGGGGTCAGTCTGTCCAGGGGGCTATGCTGATCTGGCCCAGGGTTGTCTGTGGGAGCACCATGTGCCACTTAGTTCACCTTGTGGTCTGCGTCTTCCCAAGCCATCTGGGCGCTGGCATCTGGCAGCGGCGCAGGAGCCCTCCTGGTTTCTCCACTTACTGTGGAGTGGAGATGCTATGCATGGGCTGGGGGTGTGGAGGAGTCAGAGTTTTGCCTCTTCTCAATGGTTTTTCCTGTTAGGTGTATCTCCAGCATCTCTCCAAGATTTTACTTTAGGAAGCATGCTTCTCCCTCTAGTTGCCATCTTGGAATCTACCTAAGACTTTCTATACCCAGTTAGCCACAAAGTCCTCTGTTGTCTGTCCCTACATATGTAGAATACCTTCCTTCTGTCTTCCTGACTGCCATAGTTCAAGTTCTGTGGGTCTTATGCATAGGTCAGAATAGGAAGACCCCTGAAAGATGGCCACCTAAATCCTCTTCCAAACCTAGACCATCTTCTTAATGCTGAGGCTTTGCCTGGTCAATGTTCCAGTAGATGAAACACTGACCAGCTGTCTTTTCAGACAAGAAGCCCTAAGAACTCAAAATCAATTGGATCAATGTTTTAAAATACATCTTAATGTCTACAACTAAATCATCCATGATAGACAGATGTGGCCAAGAAAAAAGAAATACCAGTTATTTGGAATGTCCAGAGTTCTACACCCAAGTAGAAAACTATTCATGAAATAAGCACAGACTCAAATGTTATTAAAATGCTCTGACCTGAACTCACCCAGATAAAAACATGACCAAATCTTAGTAGTAATTTCCACCACACAGTGTAAATTGCATCTTAAATTTCAATGATCTAGAATTAGAATATGGACCACCTGTGGGCAAAACTATAAAACAAGCTCTAAACGAAGTAAAAGTTTCACATGAAGAATGCTAACTCTATGTAAGATTTTTTCCAGACCAGATCTAAAGGAGGAAATATGCAACTGACATCCCCCAAAATTATCCAAAGATCCTCTGAAGGCAAACCATGGCAAGGAGATTCTCTCTGGTACAAAAGCCAATGTGGTTTTTATAGTACACAGAGACAGTACACCAGGCTGGTATGGAAAAGTCATCCCAGGAAAACAGAAAAGACTGAAAGAGGGCATTCCAAGCAGTCTGTTTCTGTATAGTCGCTGTAGGAAGATTTGCAGTCAGAAAAGAATCAGTCTCATGCTAAAATAGTTATCAGTTAATTAAGAGCTCAAGGCTTTTGAAAAAGGAGCTCAATAAAGCCGTAACTGTTGACTATTTTGAAATTACCAATTGATAAGGCAGCAGTATCAAATTAGTGCTGCCAGACTGTCCTCTTAAAGGTGAAATGTTTAGTCAACTAGCTCCAGTTAACTGTGTTTTAGTAGTACAATGTCAAGCAAAAATGGCTGAGCCTTTCTCCGAATCAGCATCATTAACTTCCTGGTTTGTTTATAAACAAACAAAGTCAGGGTGAATTTCAGAGATCCAAGTTATTATCCCCCCTGATTTAGAAAACAAAAATTTCAGAAGTATCTCATTGCAAAAAATCAGATATAAGACCCAAGTCTAAAGCAATCTGATTAAAAGGAGCCATCAAATAACCCAGTCCCAGGCATCAAGTCTAAGGAAAAATAAGCCTAACAGAGATTTCAAGAAAAAAAGATCAATAACTGGCCAAATCTTCAAATCCAAAAGAAAAAATGTTTTTACCACTCTGTCATCAAAACCACTTACTTCAGTGATTTCTGAAGTCTCCTGACAAAATCACATACTCCCTAGTTTTCATCATATGTGAAACACTAGCAGTGCTGACCATGTCCACATACATGACAAAATGTTTTCACCATACAGAAAAAAAAAACAAAGACCTCTAACTTGGAATCCATCTTTAAAGTAATTCACACTGTGTAGGGTTCACCAAGATATTTGTTTGGTGAAAGCTACTTATGATGGTGACTGCTCTTCTGGAATGAAAAAAGAGAATTGGGAAATACACATGTTTTAAATTACATAGCAGGGCGCCTGCCTAACAAGCATGAGGACCTGAGTTCAAACTCCAGTACAACAAAATCAATGAGTCAATAAATAAATACTGTGCCTGCTTTACATCAAATATACATTTTAAATTAAGTACTTCTTCAAGTAGAAGGGATTAGAAGTAGCCACAAAGATTGTGACTGCAAATAACCCTGGGGCTCTACTTTGCCAGCTTGATGCATCCTTCACCTTTGAAGAACTGACCTTTCCCCAGCAAGTCATTCTGCATTAGTCCTAACTAGAGCAAAGCCCTCAGGTAGAGAGCACTCAGAATAAAGGTGCCAAGCAGTGTGCCTGGGACATTATACGGGGAGCTGCCCTGGGCCCTACCCACAGAGCAGCACTGAGATGCCAACCCCATGAGTCTCAGAAAAATTCTCCGGAAGAGAGGAAAGAAAAAGAACTGAAATATTTTCCAAGTAATATCTTTTACTCTCAACCCTGACCTCACTTTAATCCACTTGCATCTTTTGAATAGAGTAAAGGAAACAAATAGAACTAAAAAGCTGAAAAGAAAAAGAGAAGAGAGGAAGAGAAGAACAATATGGAGCCTTGGATAAAGGTTCTGAAGTCTGATAGACCTGGGTTGGAATCACAACTCTTCAGCTTAACAACTTTGTTTTAAATCTTGGCCAATCTACTTGATCATGAATATTTGTTTTCTGATCTGTAAAGTAGGGTTAATAATACCTGAATTTGTGAAGAATTGAAAAAAAGATAAGTATGTAAAGCATTTAGCATGCTGCTTGTCACAGAGTAGTGATCCTTATAAAACAGCTGAAGAGATGCCAACCCCTCCAGGAGACCACTGGAGAAGAGAGAGAGAAGATTCTCGGAGAAAAAAGTCATAGGAATTAAAAAAAAAAAAACAGCCTAAGCTCACTCAGAAAAAATGCTTTGTTCTTTCTATAATCAATCTGGAAATATTTTCTGATTATTTACTGCATAATTATAATGCACTTCAGTCAGAAATGAATGTGCATCTTCATTCTCACGGTGCATGGAAACCTGCTCAGGAAACAGAAATCACCATGAAGTACACAAAAAATAACCCGAATTGCTAAGTAGCTCCCATGCAGTACAGAATGCAGGTGCTGCAGTGATTTGTAGGGGGATGGTGAGAGCTGACTTGCTGGGGAGAGGGTGGTAGAGAGATGAGTGGATATACAGGAGAAGGGAAAGCTTCTGGGGCACAGAAAGAAAACATGTCAAGGCAGAGATTTGTCCTGAAATACCAGAGAGATGGGCAAGATTAGAGAGCAGGAAGTTATGGAGTGATGGCAGCCCAAGGAAGAACAGGCAAAAGGCAGTGAGCACGGAGACAATGAGAACAGACAAACTGAACTTAGGAGGTGAATAGGGAGCAGAAGAGAAGGATCTGCCTCGCCTCTTTCAGATTTCTCATTTCCACTGAAGACCTGTGGGTGCCTTTTTATCTTCCTGGTATTCCATAAGAGGAAGTAAAATCATACTCTTCTATCTTAGATGTTGCTGCTGCCTTTTTTCTATAATTGGAGTACATGGGGCAAGGTTTACAAAGGTGGGCTCAGCTGGGTTCATATCCCAGCCCAGCCACTTACTAGCTGTATAACCTCAGGCAAGCAAACTAACCTTCCAGGTCTCAGTTTCCTTGTCTGTAGAAGAGGTGGTAATTATAATTCCTCTCTATCAGACTGTTGAGAGAATAAATTATACATTGAAAAAATTCCTTAATTGAGAAGCACTTAGAACAGTACATGGGACATGGGAAGAAATCCTCAAGTGTCTTCTACTACCATCACTGTCGCCGCCACCATCATCGCTACCATTACTTCTAATACTTATTATTGCTGTTGTTGTTATATCTGTTACCTTTCACCTTTAGCCAGGATACAGCCACAGGAAGATCAATTAACTATCTACACGTGACTGTAGATGCAGTCCAAGCTACCTTGAAATTGTACTTCTTCCAAAACTACTTGCAACAGTGAAAACCCCAAGGCAAGACCCGATAATCAAGCATCACACAGGAGGACTCACACCACACCTGGCTTGGTGAATGGCCTCCATCCACTCTTTGCCATCCTGCTCCTCCTCACAGCGCAGCTCCAGTGGTTTCTGACCCTCATGTCCAAAAAGAACAGTAAAATAATACTGGAAAGAAAAACAAACACAAAAAGTTAGGTTTATTTTTTCCAAGTATAAAAGCATAATAACACAGTATTTGCCTACAAGTGGTATGTACTTACAAAGCACATTAGCATTTTATATATTACATTGCAAAATGGAGTATCACTCCCAGTCCAGTTAGCAATGACTTTGTACCTGGAAGATAACATCCCTCAGTAAGAGTCAGTCCACAACCCTACTGTACTGTGTATTTTTATACAAGTACAAAAAGAACATTGCACAAATCTGGCTATATTAAAGTTATAATTAAAAATTTGTTTCTTTGCGGGGGGGGAAGGTGAAAGTGATAAAGCTGCAGGGACACATAAGTCTATAGCACCACACTGGTTAATTTTATTATCTATTCTACTTTATATCTGCTCCCCATTTGGGAAAGCAATATGCCTGGAATTATATCCAATTGCTGCCATTGCCTTTCCCGAAACCTTAGCAGACCTACCAACTGCTTATGCACTTGTTTTCCCAGACAGATTACACCTAACATGGGAAGGAAATCTAATTACCATCCTTGGGGCTAAGACATGATCAAAATTTCTTTTTGATTGATAGAGGTATAATCTAAGTTATTGTTGGGTAGAAGGAATTGGGTTTAAATAGAGAAAAAGCATGACACCGTTTATCCCAGGATAAACAGTGATTTTTTTCATATGTGCTTTATTCATAATCACCAAAAACTGAAAACAACCCAAATATCCTTTAGTAGGTGAGTGGATAAACAAATTCTGGTATATCGTTATAAGTAATACTACTCAACAGTAAAAAAGGAACAAACTCTTGATAAATCCAGCCACTTGGATGCCTCTCAAAAGCATCATATTGAGTAAAGAAGTCAGTCTTAAAAGGTACATTCTGTAAAATGCCTTTTGTGTGATATTCTTGAAATACTGTCAGTGCTTTCCAGGAGCCAGGGTAGGAGAGTGTGACTATAAAGAGAGTTTTGGGGAGCTGAACAGTTCTGCATTGTCCTTGTGAGGGTTACACAAATCGAAATATAGGTTTAAATACATAGAACCATAAACCAAAAGGGTTAATTTTATACTATTGATATAAAGATTTTGAAATTACAAGTAGTTTCTCAAGGTTCTCATGAGGATTCCAGAGAACAGATAACCATATAACCAAGGCTCCCGAACTCACCCTGGTCCATTAAACCACTCAGTTCCAGAAAAGATAGACATGAAATGGAGGTGTTTACAAAAAGAAGCAGAGTCCATGAACCAGAGTTGCAAAGTAGAATTTGTTTTTCAAATATTCTTGGAATAAGCTAAGTTAAGATGTGGAAAATTCTCATGTAGAATACACAGAAACACATCTGGTTTTGAGTCTCCTTTGGGTTAAACAAAGTGACAAGTGTCTGAGCTGAAGATGCATTGCTCTTTGACAACATTTGTGAACCATAATAAAGCCATGATGATTCAGCGCAATCTCAGATGTGTTTAAGGTATAATTGAACAGATGGAACATCTAAAGATTTACTGTAGCCCACATAGGTTTACAGTGATTAAAAACAAGCTGCTAGACACAGAAACACTAATAGTGCTGCCAGAGTAAATGCTCGTCCATCTCATTTTATTTCTAAGCTCATTAGAGCACGTCCTCTCCAGTCTCCTGACCACTGTGAACTGATCTAGGGCAACGTTGTAGACCAAACTGAGAGAAAAATAGCAAACCGAGGCAACCATACATGGCCAAGCTTAAGAGGGTGATGTGTGCGTGTGTGTGTGTGGTGGCGGTCGGGAGCAATCTCCAGGTGCTAGAAACAAATGTGAAAGGCAAAGCCACTGCAGAATACATGGGACGTGAGGGGAAACCACTAGGCCCCAGAAGCTACTAGGTAGAGTTCTAACACCCAAGGAGGTTGGGACATAGGGTTTTGGGGTGTGCCCAAAGTTGGAGCGAAGACCCATGCCTACCACCAGCACACGTGGAAGGTTGTCACCTGTGTCCAACAGAGACTGAAAAACTCTGCCCCCACCCACCATATACCAGAATGATTTCTAAAGGCAACATAAATGTAAAGTAAAAAATCAAACCACACAAATATTTTTAATGGTTGAACGGTCATTATGCCTCTCAATAGAAAAAATTGTCAGAATTATAATTTTATATCTGAAAACATGGACTGCTATTGTCACTTGTAGCTGTGGAAGTGGCACAGAGAGGGTCTTCAAAGTTTTTTGTCACCTCAGATTAGTTAGAAATGGAGATTCCCGCCTGCACCCCACCCACCCCCACCCCCACCAGTTTATTTACCTATTTCGTAACCAATTTGTATTTTCTTTGCAGATTTAAACAAACAGTCCATATTTTGTACATACAATCACATAATTATGGCTTTCTGATGTAACTGAATGCTGAGATGGGATTTTCTGTTCCAGTTTCAGTAGCTGCCTCAAGACAACAAACAGAAACCAATCCCCATGTGACAAGGTAGATAGTGAAGTGCCATATCAGATATAGAAAGGAGGCAGCCCACAAGATTCCTTTTTTTTTATTTCTTTTTTTTAATTGTTTTATTATTCATATGTGTATACAAGGCTGCCCCCACCCCCTCCCTTACCACCCACTCCGCCCCCTCCCTCTCCCCCCCACCCTCTCAATACCCAGCAGAAACTATTTTGCCCTTATCTCTAATTTTGTTGTAGAGAGAGTATAAGCCATAATAGGAAGGAACAAGGGTTTTTGCTGGTTGAGATAAGGATAGCTATACAGGGCATTGACTCACATTGATTTCCTGTGCGTGGGTGTTGCCTTCTAGGTTAATTCTTTTTGATCTAACCTTTTCTCTAGTTCCTGGTCCCCTTTTCCTATTGGCCTCAGTTGCTTTTAAGGTATCTGCTTTAGTTTCTCTGCATTAAGGGCAACAAATGCTAGCTAATTTTTTAGGTGTCATACCTATCCTCACCCCTCCCTTGTGTGCTCTCGCTTTTATCAAGCCCACAAGATTCTTGACCTTTACTCACACAAGGTCATGGAAGGGGTACATTTGAAATGGTCAGACTCTTGGAGATTAAAGATTTCTTCATAGAGAATTGTGTGTTCTGAGGTCCCCCCAAAAAAGGGGGAGCAGAGAGGGTGCTCCAATCACTTTGCTCAGAGTTCCTGTGTTTTGCAAAGTCGGTGCCTGGCCAGTGTAGGATCTCGAAGGCCAATGACTGGGAACTGCCTGCCAGGAGGCTGAATGCAGAGTGCTGCATTTAGGAAGTAACACTCCCACAAAGGCAAAGCAAATGCAAACATCTCCTTTCTGACAGAAACTGGCCACACCTGAGTGAGCCTGCCTCCCTTATCTTAGAAAGCTGCTTGAAAGAGCAGAGCAAGGACAACCTGGGACAGCCAGGAGCCACAGCTGAAGTGGCTGGAGGAGTCCTTCCCAGTGCCAAGGGCATAAGAGGTGGGCCCTGCTTCTTGGTGGGCAACCCCAGGAACTGAGGGGCTCCTGCAAAACCTAAGAAGCATCCCTAAAGGCTGGGCCACACTCAGGGAAGACAGAGAAAAAGCAACTGCGAGGGCAAGTCTTTCCCTGCAGTGAGCTCCAGCCAGGTGCAGAGAAGACTTCACTGTAAACTAGTCAATCAGAGGCTGCAATATTAATCACCAACTGAGACTGTCTGCAAGGAAAATGTGACCAGAGAATTTTTCATGATATTAGAGTGATCAGGAAATATGCTGGGCCCACCTGAGATTTCATCTGGGGGCCCCCAAACCTGCTCTGAAAGGGAGACCCAAAAGAAGAACAGATTTCTTTTTGTTGTCCCACCTCTCCTCATTCCAGTTCTGCTTAATTCGGTGTGATGGTTACATGTTCATTTTGAATTAAAAACCTTCATGTCAATATTCTTATTAACCCCTAGTCCTGGAGAGAGAAGTTCCAGCCCAAATTTACCAGGTTACCTGCATATGTCATCAGTGATTGAGGACTCTGAGTCATACCTGTGAGATAACCCACCACAACTCCCAGGGCACTCCCAAGCTTATACCTAACAGCTGTCTTTAGTTCCTAAACCTATAGTCCATGCAGAAGATGGAAGACCCGAGAGGGATATAGCTGATGAAAAGGCCACTGAGAAGGAGGTGTTGAATTTAGCATTATATACAATAAAACTCCATTTAAATTTGAGAGAAAAGGAGCAGGAACTCAATAAAACAAGTCAGTGGCTTAAAGGTGACTTTAACTGTGTCCTCTATTGGTGACATTTCAGTAACTTCTGGCTACCATCCAAGCCCAGATGCCCAGGAGAGGAAGCACTTGATGAACTAGCCCGATCTATCTAAGGGCTGCAATAGTGCCTCCACAGTAGCTGCTGCCTGGGAACCCAATTAAAAGCCACCATTAAAAGACAGCAAGGCAATTACATTAGCAATGTGCATCCAGAGGTTAAGCCATGTCTCAGGCAAAGCAATGATGGGAAAAGTGATGTGAGGTACATTTTACATTTCCCAGAGTCCTTTAACAAATTCAGCTCAACCACAAAAAATTAAGTACTGTCTCTGCAGGTGCCTGCAAATAATTTATTTTTAGCCACTCATCATACATTCTCCTTTGTGTCATGTAGCCTCACTGTGATACAATCTCAGTGTACCATGGTTCTATATCTCAGACCTGGGATTCCCAGGTCCCCTTGGGGGTTGAAAATAGCAGCAGACATCCTTGACAGTATTCTGTGACCTCTCACCTGTTCCCCTGCTGGAACATGGAAGAGACATTATAAAGTTCTGGGTCATGATGAAGTGAAAGCAAGAATCACAATGGAGTGATGGCCTTGTTTGTCTTTACATTCACTATCTATAATGACATAGAGTTTCTTTTTTCCTTCCTAATATTCTCACCTGTTCCCAAATCTACTCCTCCAATCTGATTCTCTCCCAGGTACCAGCCCACATTTCCCTATTAGACAGCATTCCAGTCATGTCCAAAGCTGAACTCCCCTTCCTCCCACACCCTGCCCTCACAACCACTCCTTCTCTTGTCCTTTCTCTGTAAGTGCATTTGTATCCAAATTGTCCAAGTAGGACTTCACTCTGCTTATCACCCCTTCCACTTGGTTTTACCAAGATTCCTGCCAAGGAATGTCTTCCAGCATGTGTTACCCATAGGCTATGGACACCCAATCACTAGGGTAAAACAAATGACCACTGGGAAATACTTCCCAATTTTTGTTGCCCAATCTACAGCTGACCTCTCTCCCTTTTGTATTCCAATTGCTAGTACAGCCCAACACAGAAGCCTCTCATTGCGGGGAGTATAAAGCCCCCTCAGGAAGAGGACCAGGTGACCCACATAAGTGTGGCAACATAAAGAGGCGCAAGGTAGGTAGAGAAGGCAGAAAGTCAAAGAGATACATATAGTTCAGCTTCTTTCTTGGCCTGGGCTAAAATTCCAGAGAAGGGTGAAGAGTTAAAAATGTTGATGACAAGATGGGCATGATGGCACGTGCCTATAATCACAGCATTTGACAGGCTAAGGAAGGAGAATCATGAGTTCAAGAACAACCTAGGCTACATAGTGATACCAGTTTCAAAAAAAAAAAAAGAAAAGCAAAAACAATGTTGATGACAAAGCCAAGAAACTTCTACACTGCTGTCCCTCTGGAGCTGTAGGAGATATCTTTTCACTGAATGTCCTCTTGTCCCAACTCTACCCTTGACAAAATGGTGGTCACCATATAAGACGAGCTTATCACAGAAGTCAGTAAAGTTGGAGTCACAGCAGTTAGGTAAGGAGAGAGCCTGTATTTAGCTATCCAGAGCCTCCCCAGATGCTCTGAAGTGTGGCCATTCCTTAGCATGCTGGAAAGGACTGTGAAAGGAAGGGTTACTCCCTGACCTCATGGGGCTGTGCAGGGACAGCCCCATGTTATAGCATAGTTCAGCAAGAAATGTCAATGGAATGCCCAGAGCAATGCCAGACTCCAGTCTGCACCAGTGAAGACCCTCTCCTGTCACACACACACACACACACACACACACACACACACACACACACAAGCTCCCCTTTACTCATAAAACATGTTAATGAGGCACTGAGGGAAAAAATGAATTACCCAAAGACACTTTTTACATTCTGGAGTTCACTAGACCAATACTGGGCTGAGTTTATTACTCTCAACCACAGGCAGGTTCTTCTTCACTCATCCTGGGAAGAAAGAGTCCTAAAGAGAAATATGGACTTTAGGAAAACACTTGTTTGCACTCCAAGTGTGGTAAGGGTAAACCTGAGACCCAGTGTCCAATCTTTCCCAAATCCTTCCATCTCAAAAAATGTGGCCAGAGTTTTCTGTCTAAAAGATATCTCTGAGTTGTCATGTCTTCTTACAAACCTTCACTGGTATTTTCGGATTCTAGGAGCAAATCTTGTGGAGGCTGGATTGGCCCTTCACAAATGGCCCCATTCTCCACATTTCGTTTCTTCCAGTGCATACCATTCTCCAGCCACACCAACATACTGCTCCCCTCCAAGGGCAGGCTCTGTCCTCAGTCTCATGCTGTCACCAAGCATAGCCTGTGGAGCCCTCAGACCTGGGTATGAAACTTTACTTCTCCAAGTGGGAACTCAGGTTATGAGACCTTGGACAAGTTTCTTAATCTCTCCTAACCTGTTTCCTCATGGGCAAAATGTGCCACAGGATATTGTGCTCATGGATGAACCACAAACTTCTGGTCACCTAGTGTTTTTACTGCACATTTTCTATGTTTACATACACAAATACTTAGCATTGCATTTCCACTGTCTATTGCATCTTCAATGCAGTAACATGTTGTGCAGATTTGTAGACTACGAGCAATAGGCTTAATATACCACGGAGCATAGGTGTGCAGGACGCTATACCATCTAGGGTTGTGTAATACACCCTATGGGGTACTTTATTGATGTTCACGCAACAATAAAAACCTAAGGATACAAATCCCCCAATCTCACAATGGATGACTATATCTTATGGGCTGAATTAGCTGACATCCAGTACCTGGTGCCCTGTAGCCACTTTAGAAACACTAATTTTCTTCTCTATTAGTGTATCTCTTTGTCTGGACATAGTTTGTTTCTTCTTTAATCCCCAGTGCCTTCTGTGCCTACAAATACCTACTGACCTTTCTTGACTTGTGTCACTGAAAATATCAATTCTTCTAACAGAATCCTTCTCTGACATCTTCTGGCAAAGAAGAGTCACTCCCTCCTCTGGGGTTCAAGAGTGTCATGCATCTTATCTCACAGCATCTTAGAGTTGCCCATTTATGTGTCTCTTTTCCCTGCCAGCCTTGTTCTACCAGAGCCTCAGTGCTTGCATTGTGCCAGGCACACAGAAAGCCCCTACCAGCTAGTGAATAAATGATTATCAGTAAAGAAGCATGAAGTGTAATTGACCTAATAAACTTGCTTCAATCATCCATCTATGATGATGAATTTCATTACAACATAGTCACATCCAGGTAGTCATCCAGAGGAAGAATTTGAGCACAGATTTTTTAAAGATTCTAGATAAATTGCTTTAAAGAAAAAAGGGAGGAAAAGATCCCATATGTTATCAAATATATCTTTTTATCATAAGCCATGAAAAAACAGAACTTACAATCATCTTGCATACCCCTACAAGAGCAATAAGAGTGATACTATAGGTTGGCAGGTTCACTGAAGATTCTTTCTTCTATTTGTGCTCCCATGTTTCCTGCAACACTAGTCCCAATGATGAAGATACAGAAGCAGCCTAGGTTTCTCCTACTAGATGAATGGGTTTTAAAAATGTGTCATATAAATCCTGTCATGTGCAGGACCCTAGAGGATATTATACTAGGTGAAATAACCCAGGCACAGGAGGCCAGAAGCCACATGGTCTCACTTATACATGGAATCTAAAAATGCTGAACTCATAGAAACAGAATAGAATGGTTACCAGAGGTTGAAGGAGGGGGCTGAGCAGAGGAAAGGTACATGCTGATCAAAAAGCTTTAGCTAGATAAGAGAAATAAGCTGTAGTGACCTACTGCAGAATGGTAGCTATAATAAGCAAGAATGTGTTATATATTTCAAAACTGCTACAGGAGTAGATTTTAACTGTTTTCGCCATAAAAATAAGTACATGAGTTAATGGGTTTATTGACAAGCTTGATTTAATCATTCTATATTGTAATGATATATCAAAACATTACATTATACCCCATACATATATATAAAATCATTTCTTACCAACTAAAAATAAATATTTAAAAATATTCTTAGATCTTACCTACAAGGACCTTGAATAGACCTAGGAAATGCAAAGTTTCGGGGTCTTATTGGTGTCTATTGTAGTTTCAATATGAATGTTCATTTTCAGTTTTCTGGCTTTGGTTATAATGTGTTTGCTGCTGTGTATGCTATGTGTCACTGCAGAGAGAACAAATGTAACCCAACATGAGAACACAAGCTCACTTAAAACCCCGGCCCTTTAGCTTCTGCAAGTCAGAAACAAATTCATGGGTAGTAGAGGCAGTTTCTGGAGGATGGTCTTACCACCACGTTTCTATATGGCTTGGATCATCTACAAAAAACACAAATAGCTACATAAGCAAAAAGAATATATGTATCCCATTTTTGTAGTATTTGAATCATTTGCAATAAAAATGCATAGCTTGATACCAGTGTTGGAAATATTTATTCCATTTTTAAAACTACATCTAATATCGCTTATCCTTAGAAAGTAAATGATGTTGATCAAAATAATAATGTTCAAACTAAGATTTAAAACCATTTTAAGTTTTCTTTAAAATATACAGCAGAAAATTCTAAAACATATGCTGCTTCATACGTATTATTATAATAGTCTCTTCCCCCTAGGCCCATAGTTTTGCTTTCTGAGGTACCCACAGCAGTCTGAAAATATTAATTGGAAAAATCTAGAAATAAACAATTCATCAGTTTTAAATTGCATGTCATTCTGAGTATCATGATGAAATCTCATGCTATCTCATTCCATCCTGCCTGGATATGTGTCAGGCCTCTGTCCAGTATATCCATGCAATAAACACAACCTACCTGTTAGTTACTCAGTAGCTGCCTAGGTTATCCAATCAACTGTTGCATTATCACTGTGCTTGGTAACTCATTTTACTTAATAACATCCCCAAGTGCAAGAGTAATAGTGATGGAAATTTTAATATGCCTGAGAGGCTGTTAAGTGCTTTCCTTTAATGAAAAGATGAAAATTCTCAACAACAAAAAAAGAATTGTATAGTGCAATTGCTAAGATCTATGGTACGTTACAGTTGTTAATCTCTTACTGTGCCTAACTTATAAGTTAAACTTTATCATAGGTATGTATGTATAGAAAAAACATAGTGTATACAGTTCACTGCTATGCATGTTTCAGATATTCACTAGGGGTCTTGGAAAGTATTCCCCATGTATAAAGTGTGGGGGGAGGGGGAACTTTTATTTGGATGACACAGCAAGATTTTAAATCACTCTACATGTTCTTTACATTTTTTCAATTTTAGATTAAGAGAATTAAAGCATAGCCTCTCACATCTGTGAGAACCCATTCTCTCTCTGCAGCCACTGAGACTCCTGCCAGGGACAGATGGACAGCACCTCAAAGAAACGTTCTGAAGTCTTCTGTCATGTGGCCAGATTTCTGATCCTGCAAGTCAGATGCTGAATGGATAACGAAATAGGTACCTTCTAAATTACCCTTGGACCTGTAACTTATCTCAACATGTACATAAGTCTACTGTCCCATTGCAATGTAACCAGAATCCTAGGCCCAGGAGGTCTAGGAGGTTCTAACGTGTCAGGTCCAGCTATCTGCCCCAAAGAAAACAAACAAAAGCAATGGTGAAAGGGCAAGAAAGGATTTTAATCAAGATAACCATTTTCAGAAGACAGAAATGAGGCATTTCAGCCCGGGCACTGCATGAGCATTAGGCTTAAATAGAGGAAGAATTGGAGCAGGTGGTGAAAAGCAGCCATCACCTCCACACTGCCTGGAACACTGGACTCCTTCCAGAGCCACAAAACAGAAACCACAGCATTCTTTCCTCTTTCACCTACTTTGCTCAGAAAAAAGAGCTAAATGCATGGAGAAAAGAAGAAAGCGATGTGCTGCAGTCATGAACTGGCATACCTGGGCTCACGGCAATTAAGAACAGGTCATACTGTTTCTTTGAGGTGGTAGTGTTTTGATTGTCAAGTACTGGGGCGGGGGGAGGGTTGGTGGCTGTTTGATATTCATGATGAAAACATTTCCAATTTTCCCAAAGAAGAGTTTGTATTTTGAAGTTTCAATGACATGCAGGAGTTTGGTGAATGGTTTCTTCCAACAGAGGCCAAATATTGAGTAGAAATTAAACTTATGAATAAAGTGTTTGCATGCATAAAATCCACACTGTGATGTAATATCAGCTTTTACAAACTGCCTTAAAATATATTCTTCTATTAGACATATTTTAATGCACAAGAATTTAACTTAAAATTCAGCTCAAGGAGTAAGAGTTTAATTGCTTCCTACTGTGGTTTTCTACCACAGTCTGACTCCCAAATCTCACAAACTGAATCAAATTAAACTGTGCTCACTGGAGAGTGAAAAGGACAGTAAGAGGTCAGAAACCCTGTCATTTTCAGAATGGCTAAATGAACTTGATATATTTGGTTGCTCTTCTAATCTTTGGAAGGCTATCATATAAATATTGCAACAGAGAAACTTACATCGACCAAGGGATCTGAGCGCCTATAAATTACCAAGCCTGTTGAAATTTATAAAAAGGAAGCATGATATCTGATGGTTTAAGTTATCACCCCTACCTTACAGGGAAAGGCAAGAGTTCCTCTCCAGGTTTTGTTAAAATTTCATACAAATTCCTGTCTTTCTGTTCTATTACCACTCCAGATAGGGACAGATGTTGTTGAAGATAAATAATGGTTGAGCTGTATGATTGGGGTCACTCCCCTTCAGCCCTTATATTGATTTATTTAGAGAGAGACATCAAACTCTGATCAGGGAGGCTGACTTGGGAATTCAGAGCTGACTTATGAATTCAGTCACCACTGTCATAGTTTCCTCTTACAATGAGATGACTACACTGAGTCACCAGTCCAATGTATACACCATCCTCGCCTCTCTTAAACTAATCTGAAAACGCTAACTTCACTGGTTCTAAAGGAGAAACCTCCAAATCCTTTTCACTCATCACTTTCTTATTTAAACTTTGGGTTTTATTTATCTTTCATTTGCCAACCATATTCTCATTTGTGAAAAAAAAAAGTACAATGAAAATGCATGCTGTGCTCACTACCCTAGACAGTGAGCACTACTTAGCAGAGGGAGAACTGAGCAAGTGTAATTTCTCTGCTGCTGAAAGGAAGTGCAATATGCTCTGTCAAGCAGCAATGGGCAGGGGAAATGCAGATAGGGGAGTAGCTTCAGAGTTATTGCATGTGGTTCACAAGTAGCAATAGTGGGTTAAAGTTAGAG